CACTGTACAGTGGCATAATGTGCACCTGTGCCTACCCCTTCGGGATGTCGCGGAGAACCCAACGGGTAACCGGGGCTCCGGCTCGACGTGCAGGAGTAGGAACGGGGTGGTTTTTAGTCAGTAAGAGTCTGACACTCCCTCCCGCTTCACCCAGGCGGGAGCAGTCATTCGATGATTTTCCCCCCTTAAAAAAAAACCCCTACGGGATAAAAGGCGTGATGTTATGGTTATCCAGCCTCTGACAAGTTAAGCGTAAAAATAAAACTTTGGTAATGAACATAACTACCTATACACAAGATGTAAGCTTTCTACTAACGGTTTAATTAATCAATTTGTTTAAAACTTGTAGCTGACTTGTGTGCATGTGAGAGTCACGCTCCGGCACGACGACGGGCCGGCTCGATTGCTCGACCATGCGATTAAGCTTACAGGAAGCCCAAAGACCACCCTCCCCAAACTCCCCAATCCCCCAATCCTCGAATCCCCAACAATCCTCAAGCCGGTAAGGCACTAGTAGTTGTAACGCAAACATTAAATAAACATAATGTTAAGCCGAGGGTACTTCCACAACAGTTTTATAAAACAGTGTTGGCACTTGGCATGACGTGCGTTGTTCGGCGAGAGCGATCTAGAAGCAAAATTAAATGCGAAGCGGTGTGGCGCGAAAACAACAAACTTTAGAAACCTATTGAAGGCTCCTATACGTGACAAAACGCACGCGGGATGCGGTGCGAAATGAAGCGAATGCGTTCACTTCATAATATTTTCGTGCGAACTGGATACTGTGCCATTTTTGTTCGATTATAATTTCGGAAACTGAAACGAAGCGAAACGATTACCTACATCGCTGCCGCGTCGCACCGCTTCGCATTGAATTCGCATGTCACCTACTGGTGTCACATAATGACGTTCGCTTCTAGATCGCTCACGCAGGTGACGCAGGACATCGCGTAAGGGTTCGTGTAGTGTGGATGGTACCGCAATGCTATGTACCCGACGTCGCCACCACGCCGCCGCCGCCGCGCCGCCGCCGCGCCGCTGCCCCGTCACGATGCTGTGTTAAGTGACACGTTCAGCCGTATAGTATAATGTCATTTTTAGGTACATACACACAAACATAACCCTTCAAACGGCTGATCGAGTGTCAGGTATTTCGTAGCGCTACAAGGTACTTCCCTACGTACCGGAACGTAATATCGCTGTCAGACAGAAGTGTCATTATCATTAGGCTTGTATTGTAGAACAATTTGTGATGTATCACCCAACTATGATAAAAACCGGCCAAGTGCAACTCGGTCTCGCATTTCTGCAGTCACCTGTGGATGTGGAGCTATACGGTAATGGAAAAATATATGAAAGTACCTAAACTATTTTGTATTTACAATCATAAAAGATGCATTATGACTAGGGTTTCCAACTTTTGTTTAGAAGAAATAGAATGTATATCTGATTGTAAAGAAGGTAATAAAGAGTACGGAATTACAATAAATACTATCATTTCAAAAAAATTTCGTACTTTATTTACATAGCAAATAACATTTTTTTTTTAATCTAAAATAAATCTGTATTTATTATTATCCTAGGTTAGCCTATAGCTCGATAGGTTATTGCACGAGGTCTACGCCAAATTACATTCGATTCGATCCAGTAGTTGTCACGACAGAATGGTATTGGGTCAAAAACTTTCATTTAACTGGACTAAATTACTTTGTAAATGATAAATGACTCACAACCTGAAAAAAGTGTTTGGAGCAGTGTCGGTTACAGTGTCGGCCACCCTGTATTAACGGTAAATTGTTGACTTTTTATTCTGATCATGGCATTCTCGAGATTTGCGCTTTATTTTTACCCGACTACGGCAAGAGGAGGGTTATGATTTTGACGAGCTATGTAACATGTATGTATGGATGCATGTATGTTCATCTGTTCCCTACAGTTAAGATAAATATGTTTGGTATCATTTGAAAGCCCTTTACTTGTACATTTTGAATATATACATAGGTATTACTAGCATTTGTTGGTGACTTTACCTGTATTCACGGGCTGATTGCATATATTTCACATCTTTACGTTCATATCTTCTTTACTACTAATCAGAATAAGAGCACTGCAGTACCATTAGAAGGGCTTGATATTCTGTTGGTTGTGAACTATAAAGCTCGTCACTGATACTGAAAATGTATAACACAAGATTTTCAGAATACTGACGTGAACAAAGTTACTAATGTAGTTGCAAGTGAATGGACACAGTGGACCCTGCCAACTCCAAGATGTAAGCTCGTTGTAAGTTGACAATAATGTCATGTGATACTATTCTGAAGTATGCAGTATTCACTAAGTAGAGATGAATGTTCGTGTCCACTGTGTCCATTTACTGGCAACTACATTAGTTATTACAAAACAAAAACTTTCTTCTGTTCAGTATTCTGAAAATCTTGTTTAATACTTTTTCATCGGAAATTTTGGAGATAAAAACTATATTTTATATACACTTTCTTTCTCGAGTCTCGAACTATAATTTTTAACCGACTTCCCAAAAAGGAGGAGGTTATCAATTCAGCTGTATGTTTATATTCAAATCGGTTCAGTGTTATTTCGTTTTCGCCCCGCGACGAAACAACTTGCCACAATAAGGAGTACCTGCTTTTGATATTGTAAAAACATAGTTGCCTAGTTTATGACATAGGTGACTCAAAACTGACATTACATTGACGTTACATCTGTAACTGTGTTGGCACTATTTGCATCGCACGTGGCACCCGCTGAGAAATACCTCTTCGACAATTACATGGCGTGATGTTTGATAATATATTCTGAGTCTGTATGCGCTTTTGAAGTTTTCTATTTGAAATGGTTCACTAACTAGTTAGTTTTTGTTTTAAACATTTTATTTGTTGGTAAAACCAATAAGTACAATTACCGAGACAAGTATTTTACTTCAGAACGAAAACGATGAATATCTATAAAGACAGTGTCACTGTAGTAGCACATTTTGTCTATTTACATTAGCATGTATCTAAACGCTGGAAATAGACAAAATGGTAGGTCTAGTATAAGATAAAAAGTAAGAATATGGTACTTAATAATAATAAAAAGTATAAGATTACAAAGTTATGTTATTCGATTTTACATAAAGTGCTAAATCTCAAAAACTGTCAATCGTATCTCGTTGACCAATTTTCTTTAAAGATTCCCTTGACATCTACAAAAAAATATTGTATCAACATTTTTCACTGTCTGTTCGTAAGTTCGAGGGAAGAAGACACACATTTTAACACTTTAAAAAGAGCTTATCCATGGCTAATCTCTCAAACAATTGACTTTGAGAAAGACTGTGTCTTAGAAATCAAAATGCCAATTTGAAGAGACTCCCCTCACGTGTAGCTGTAGGTATATATACTAGGTATACGTACCTAGAATAAAAACATGTTTCTCCAAGCAGTTTACAGAATTCACTTACATACGTACCAAGTTTCAACTATGTAGATCATCCTATTAGTTTCGGAATAACGTGTCTGTTGACATACGGCCAGACGGACAGACATGACGAATATAAAAAGGTGCTGATTTTTGCACAAAAAAGATTTGAAATCAATAATACTACTATCCAGAACTTTCTGAACAATTGTTAAGCTATTTTGTCTATGAGACGTTTTGTTTGAGATATAAAGTAATAAGTCCTTCTTCCAACTGTAGTGTGTCAGCTGCGACCGGGAGCCCTCGCCGCAGCCCGCCTCCAGCGCCAGCACTGTGCACTCGTGTAGTTGGCGGGAGAGAATAAATACGAAACACAAGACGACATCAAATGATCTTTTATTTACAGAGCACGGGTGCAAGAGCCGCCCTCAGGGCATCCCTACCCCGTACTAAGTATTCGATAACAATATTAACTAAAATATTTACAAAAACTTAATTATCATTCACATCGTGTATGCAAATATGGCGCTTGGGTCGGCGATATTTACACGAATGTACAGTTTCTCAAGGAACCACTAGCAAGTATAACATGTGTCGGGCGCCGCTGTTAGAAGTGAGCGCGGCCAGAGCCGCTCCAACGCGTGTCCGAGGCACTGGACACGTCCGTGACGGGCGCCGGGTAGTACACGGTGGGCGCCGGCGAGGGCGCCCGGCGCGCGCGGCCCGCGCCCCGGGAACCGCGCTCCGACCGCCGCAGCGTGCCGTTGCGCGCCAACCGCAGCGACACGCGCTCGCCGCACGACGCGAACGAGTCGTCGCGCGTATGTTCCGGCGAGTCACGCGTGCCTGTCCACCGACGCATGCCTCCCGCGCAGAACATCTTGAGGAACACGCGCTTGAACTTCTCGCCAAATATAACGTAGATGACGAAGTTGACGCTGCTGTTGATGGTAACCAGAAGGTTACTGGTCTTGACGAGCGGGTCCAGCTTGTCGAATTGGTCCCCCAGAAACACTTCGAACGAGTTGGTGACGAGTGGTAGAAGGTTACAGAGGAAGAACACTAGTACGACTACCAACAGCATGGTAGCCAGGCCGAGCTCTCGGCGCTGCACCCGGGAGAGTCGCGCGCGCTCTGCTTGCGCTCGCCGTACCTGCCGCACGATGCAAGCGTTGAGTGCCGCCAGTGCCGAGAACGGCACAATGTACATCACGATCATGTACAAGGAGTGGATGTAGACCACGATGTAGGACTCTGTGCGGAACGTCAGGTCTGCAGTGACGCAGTAGACAAGCTCGCCGTCCACGAAGCGCTGTATCACCTCTGCTTCGAAGAACTTGGGAGCATTGTATGCGAGTGCGAAAGCGGCCGTCCCCAAGACGTACCAGCGCGCACGTGACGACGTGCATAGCGCCTTCGCCCGGAACGGATGGCACACCGCCACCCACCGCTCGATGGTCACGATCAGCGTGAGGTACACCGACATGGTCTGCGCGGCGTTGGCGATAGGGTAAGCATAGGGCGTGATGTGTGGGCACACGTGGTAGTAGTAGTAGCGCATGTGGCCCGTGTACGGGAACACGGCGGTGAGCCCGAACAGCAGCACGGAGGTGAGGATGAGCACCGTGTCGCAGGCTGCCAGCCCTACTAGCAGGCAGTTGACGGAGGACCGCATCTGCGGCCGCGACAGCACGAGCACGGAGAGCGCGTTGCCCAGCAGGCCGGCGGCGCCGATGCCATTGAGCAGCACGCCATGCACCACGAAGCGGAACAGCTGGTCGCCGGGCTCTACGCCCACGTCCGAGTCGCAGCCCTCGGCCGACTCGTTGCGGCTCATGTCGCCCGCATCCTGCGTTCAGGCCGCGCGCTCGCCCTGCCGACAAACAGACACACTTCAATCAATGTGCTACACATCTACGAGTACAGGCTTTCTTAATAGGTATTATACACGAGTTCATTTACTAGGGTAGCACGGTAAGAACAAAAGAACCTTGAAGCATGGTATGGCATGAATCGACAGATTCTGCTGTACTGACTGTAATCGACAGATTCTACGTTTCACGATTTCGATTCGAGCTTCTAGATTCCCTTACGAGTTTACGCGGAATAACAATTGTAGGTTTCTTTGATGGCGTCAACTTAGAAGTTTGAATTTTTCACAGTTGTAAGGGACAGTATTTAGACGTGAGACTGAGTATTTGTGAAGCATATAAATAAGTTTATACCTCCACCTATACCCGAGCAAAGAATCTTAACGGACGGACAACAAAGTGCACCTGTTAAGGTACGTTTACACGCTTGCCAATAAGTGCCATGAGGCTGGAGGAGCGTCCACAAACCTCTCTCGGCATTTTGGAAGTCGCTTACACGCTTGTGAATGCGTCGCCGTGTACGCACATCGGCCGACACTCGCCCTGACTTAACTTAACTGTAACAAGCACAACAAAAACCAAAACATATTATAATCGGTCCAGCCTTTCACCAGTGACGCCGTGATCAAATGATTTGGAGATTCATCTGTTGATACAGATAAATAAAATTAGAATGTCTGTTTGTAATTAACCGACTTCCCAAAAAGGAGGAGTATTGATCACAATTGTACACCTAGATAGGATGTGATGGTAATTAAGGGTCCGACAATGAAGTAGTCTGATAGCTAAGGGAAATGGATGGATAACAGTAGGTACCTGCTATTTGAGCTTGAAATAATTTGTATTGACTAAAACTTTGCACCGATATGTGGGTTGATATAATTTAGTATTAAACTAAAGACATACTCTTTAGTTTATTATAAATAAAAATAAAAAATGGGTTCAAAAACTAAAATCAAACGAATACTAAAAAGCAAAAAATAACTATTACTGGCCACATGATTAGGGAACGGTACTGACGCTAACAACGCTATCAGTATAATTTTTGTCAGTCTGGCTACATAACCGTTATAGAAACAGAAACTACTCGACGGATTTTAACGAAACTTGCTACAATTATTTTCATACTGTTGAGCTGGTTATAGTGTTTGATTATATAATGTCCAGATGGAGTGTCACTTCTCTGAAGAGTGGCCAAAAATGTGCAGTCAACTGTTCACTGCACTTTCCCGTCAAGCAGTACCAATCGTGTCACCTAGACGTCGCTACGTGCATGCAAGCTACAAAACAAAGTCAACAAAAAGTATACTGCAAAAAATAGCCACATTAAAATTGTGCAAAATTATAAATGACGGTTAAAAAGTACTGAACAGATCGCTTATCCATCGTTAAGTAGTTAATTAAAATTTACATTATTCAATTTATATTTTTGACTTAACTAATTGCCGCCATATTTTATCAGTGCTGCCAATTTATTTCTCATGAAGACTCATTTACTTCACTCTTTATGAGACTGTGAAGCTGACAAAATTGTAAAAGAATCGCACTTGCTTGTGAATTAAAATAATATTATTTATTAAGATAATATTATAATTGTAATATTTATTGAACTTACACTTGTCTACACTTTATTGATTCATTCGACAGTTAATTTGAATTATACTACGTTAAAGGGTGTAACAATATTTCATAAATTAATTATTATGTTTTCGTCTTACTCGCGTAGCTGTTTGACAAGGAACTCGACTAGTATCAAGCCATGCTCGAGGCTCATATTCACACACACAACAGTTACGTGAGTAAGCCGAAAACATAATAATTAATTTAGTATATCTCACGAAAGTTTTAATATAAATATTTTATAAATGACTTTTATAGAAATAATGTTAAAAATGTCTTAAACTGTCAAACACCGCGCGGTCACCGGTGACCGCAACCTATTGTTCTTTAATATAAATATTTAATAATTGTTTTCACACGGAAAATATAAATTACTTATATGACAAAATATAAATATCAACGCAGTCTCCGATAAAAAAATACTTTAATATCAGATTCTAAGAGATTTTCTTACTTTACTTCTAAATGGTCTGGTGGTACATGTACCCAAATATTTGTGGGAAATATAAATTTGTGTAAACCACAAGCCGCACGCACACAGGCACCATTTAGGAACGTCATTGTTGTTACTATTGTATGGTGACGCTCTACCTAGACATAATTATAATCTAAGAGTATAATAGTACACTTTTCATCACATTACAATCAATAGGAACAACGCAGTGAAGGAAAATGTTGGGAAAACGGGAAAATGTCCTCCATCACGCTAAACTACCGGTCCGAATACGATGAATCTTGGTGTGTTTGTACTTTAATATCTTGCATCGCACTGGGGACTAATGTATGTATATTCAAACGATACTTAGACCAATATATCACTTTTCACTGGACAGTCTTTGGAATGACTGGACCGATTTTGTTGAGACTTTTATGGCAGGTAGTTAATGTCCTAAGGAGTAACATTCGAATACGACCACTTTGATTTTAGGAATACGCAGACGAAGTTGCGCATTCGGCTACTTAGTTTATGGTACAAACGCTAATTGATAGCGGCGCGTCTAGTCTTGGCGAGTGCTAAGTGTTCTCTTATTTTCCCAGTCAAATAGTTTTTTTTATGTTACCTAAACCCCGTTACACAATAATAAATACTAAATTATTCAATACGATGCGCGACATCACCGCGTCCGTGCATGCTGCTCATAAAGAAGAGTCCCTGTGTTAATCGAAACTAGTAGAGATTTTCACAGTATTTCACACGAGTAAACCGGTGTTTTTAATTAATTGAGTAAGTCTCACAATAGTGTTCGTTCGTAGGTATGTATGTACGTACCTACATGTTGGAGATACATTTTCATTTCATAAACGAGAAAATACGTGGACGTGGCTTGAACGCCTTCAATCTGAAACTGTGAAGTATCGCTATCATTCCGATCTCATTGGGTTGCTGTACCATAGAGCGTGACAGACGTCAGACGGTGACGCGGTGACAGAGCACGTGATGTCGGGAGCAGGGTGAGCATGCGGGCGGCGGTGGTGTTAGCGTGTGCGCTGCTGGCGAGCGCGGCGAGCGCGACGAGCGCGGCGGGCGCGACGGGCGCGCGCACCTCGCGGTACGGGTTCTACCGCACCATGATGACGGAGCAGCGCTGGGTCGACGAGGGCACAGCGCCGGCGCCGGCGGGCCAATCGCGGCGCGTGTTTGGCGGCGATGCAACGTCGCTGAGCACGTACCCGGCGGCGTGCGTGCTGCTGGACCGCTACTGGACGGCGCGCTGCTCAGCGGCCGTGGTGGCCTCGCGCTGGGCGCTGACGGCTGCACACTGCGTGTCGCCGCATATCGCCTACGTAAAGTACAACGCGCGTCGGCCCGCGTCGAAGGAAGGCTCGCTGTCGCCCGTGCACTACCTGTACCGGCACCCCGGGTAGGTACGTGTCCCCAGCCCGCGCGTCACGCCGTCCGGCCCGGTCTGTTCTAGCGTGTGTTCGCAGCTACAAGGTGGTGCAGGAGGACGAGGGCCGCGGCGTCGACGTGACGCTTCTGCATCACGACGTCGGTCTGGTACGCACGCGCAACGACATGAAGCTGGCTACTAATCCGAAGCTCGACCCCATGCACGCCATGCGTCTCTATAACCCCTTGGACCTGAAGAACGAGGAAGTGCAGGTGACATCTAGGGTGCACTTAATTGTGAAATGATTATAGCGTGTACAAATCCAGTGCAGCTGTGACGTGGTCACTCTGGTTCTGCAGTGTCCTAAGAGTAGAATGTTAGTAGTACCTAGATGATCGTAAAGGCTTGGAATGAGGCAGGTGCTGGGCTACGGGCGCACGGAGAAGTCGTTGCTGGGCGAGGAGCTGTTCGAGGTGCGGCTGCGGCTGGTGCTGTGCGAGCGCGGCGCCTGGTTCCACTGCGTGTGCGGGGTGGGCGTGGAGCGCTCGGGCGAGGGCGCGCGCGGCGTGTGCTCGGGCGACTCGGGCGGGCCCGTGCTGTATCGCGGCGCGCAGGTGGGCGTCACTTCTATGGGGCCGCTCGAATGCGCTACAGGTCGCGCGGACCCGTCGGAGGGCGCCACTAGCGTTTTCACGGCGCTCTACAACTACGCGGACCTGGTCAACGCCACCATCCACGATACAGAGACGACGCTGCGCATGCGCAAGATCGACAGCAGCGCCCCTAGAGCTAGTTTCGCCACCGCGCCATTTGTGCTGGGCACACTCACTTCTGTTCGTGTAATAAAGCATATTTTGAGATGAATATTACGCTTTTGAGTGTATCCTGAGTTAGTCGCTGACGCCGTCCACGACGTGCTCTCTCACTGGGCTTCGTAACCTGGACAACCTGGATTTCCTGTTAATTAGTTAAAGTTTACGATTTGTAACTGTATTTATGTCACGTGCACTTTAAGACGAAGTAATCGTCCCATGGTGCCGGCAATGACGATGAGTGCTATGTAGTCTAGTACAAGAACACTTTCTCTCGGACACACACACGCACACACACACCAGCTACCGCTACTTGTAATTGTGTACATGTGTGCTGTGTAGGGCACTTACTGGTGTCGAGTAGCGGCGGCGCGCAGGCATCGCTCTCTGTAACAAGAAAAAGGCACATCGTAACTAAATAGTCGTGCCTTCAGTCGATCGACAAAATGTTTGTTTACTTTTCCTAACGCACCCTTACTAATATTATAAATCTGAAAGTGAGTTTGTTTGTTTGTTTGTTCTGCTTTCACCGTAACTACTAAACCGATTGCTTTGAAATTTTGCAGACGTAAAGTTAAGGGTCCAGATTAAATCATAGGGTACTTTTTATCCCGGAAAAATGTGATATTCCCGAGGGAAAACAAAAATATTAGTATAGATGGTGCTGTGTGTATTCGTATAGATGGCGCTGTATGCCAGTTAAAATTAAAACAATTCAACTAATTACCTACTAATTGTAAATTTCACGCTTAAATCTATAGCGCTTATTTGGTGTTAATCTACACTTATTCGGTGCACTTTTCGACTCATTTATTTGCTGTTTTATTTGTAAAAATACTTAAAGAACACAACTTGGTAACGTTGTGTAGTACGCTTACGCTACTTGGCGATAGATGGCGCTGAGTGTGTATAAAACGGGGTAGCGTTGTTTTTTAAGTATTTTTCGCTTTTAAATTTTGGTTCCAACCATTTTACATTAAATTGCGTATTTTATAAATTTTAGGTTGTTAAAGGTACACGAAATTGGTGTCTATGTAGTAGTTACGCTACTTGGCGATAGATGGTGCTGAGTGTTTATAAAACGGGGTAGCGTTGTGTTAGTATTTTTCGCTTTTAAATTTTGGTTCCAACCATTTTACATTAAATTGCGTATTTCATAGAGTTGTTTATGGAGTTTTATGGAGTTTTTTTTAGGTTGTTAAAGATACACGAAATCATAATGGCAACAATACTCAACAATTACCAAATATATTGTACGCTGTTGTTTCAACGCTCGATAGATGGCGTTAGGATCGAGGTAGATGGCGTGGTTTCGTTACCGGCGAAAGTATAGGTTCCGCGAGCTTCCGAGACAATTATATTTCGGTCTACGCATCTAGCACTAATATTGATTTTTATTCATTTGCTCTGTAGTTTTGATTAGTCAAGTGTTATTTTTTCTAGGTAGATATCTATTATCTATTTATCTAATTCTAAAGTAGTTTAATTTTGTTTTTTTCGTCGTCTTAAGTCGCTTCGCTCATTGTTTACGTTGATTGATACAGTAGGTGTATATTAGTTAGGTGAGATTAGTGAAGTGGTTTATTTCTAAGTAGATGTCTAAAGCAGTTAGGTTTTCGATAATAAAACGTATTTTAATATAGTTTTCAACTCAGTTTTGGTTTAACATTGCAAATGAAACCCTTATAGGAAAAAGAAGTCTTTTAAATTAAAGTGGGAGGATTGTATTTGTGGTAATGCGAAAATAACTCCTTCTGTTGTTCTTTCACGCTAAACGGCTGAACGGATTTTAAAGAAATTTGGTATAAAGGTAGTTTGAGTCCTGGAAAAGCAAAGGTTTACCGCGGCAGAACTTCTCATTCCCACGGAAAATTGTAAAAAGCGCGATATAACTGAATTCCACGCGAGCGAACAACTATTTGTTTGTTTGCCTGTCTTAAACGGCAAAACGGAGGTACTTAACGTGATTTTTTAACTGAAGGTAGTTGAAGGGATGGATAGTCACATAGGCTTCTTTTTATCTTTTTGTGACGCGTGCGAAGCCGCGGGTAAAAGCTATTTTTTTTGTTTTTATAAATAGAAAGAAAAGAAAAAACAACTTCTGCTTCGAACCGGGGCTGGGTAACAAATCGCGAACCGATTCTAGTAGGCCCTGGCCCGGCTAAGGTGATCTTTTCTTAAGGCTAAGGTTTCCGTGGTGGTCTGACGGCTCTTTGAGGAACGCGACAGTGCGCGCGCGCGACGCGCCGAACGCCGCGGCTCCTACCCAACCTCAGAGGGCCAAACATATAGGGGGTTGTACACGGGGGTCGTGCGGTCCATGGCCCTTTATTTATTAGATACGCCCCTATTGAGCGCCGAATATGATGCGGCGGCCAGCTCGGGCGCTGCGTACTGTTATATCCCTGATATGTAAGGGTTTATGCTGGGATGACATAAAACTACATCGTCATCATTATTATATCTTAGCGTGTAAGGTGGCATGCCAGACCCCTCAGTCTGGACAAGATCTCCGAACGGTACGGTTGTATACTCAGTCCTTTAACTAATTAAAATAGTTTTAATATAAAATTAGTTTTTTTTAAAAAGAAATCCTAAAGGACTCTCGTAACAGTACGTGCCTTGGGGTGCATCGTCATTCGGATGATCCGTGGATATCACACAATCTCGGGGGAGGCGCGAACCTCCACACCGGATGACCGCCGCGCGCCGTGGGATCTGAAGGCGAAGGTGTTCGAACGTGTGTTCACAGTGAGCCATCAGGCGACCACAGATGGAGCCCAGTAGGGCTGATGCGGATTCGGAGCCGCGGAATAATTACCGGATTGCCAGGGCTTCGGCTTGAAAAGCATAAGTAAGTAAGTAAGGATCAGGGTGGTTTCTAGTCATTAAGAGTCTGAAACTCTCTCTGGAGACCCCGGCGGAACATTGGATGATTGAAATAGAACCTATTAAATAATTTTAGTAAAAGTACTATCTACCTATATCAAGGAAAAAGTAATATTGCTATCTTAACCGCCTGGTTACATGATAGAATTGTTTTTGATATAAGATTAACTCGTCGAGTACCGGTTTTGTAGACACAATTATAGAACAATAGGTTGCGGTCACCGGTGACCGCTTGGTGTTTGACAGTTTAAATTCCGAAGTTTCGATTTCGTGTGTTTACGCAAATGGTTTAATACGGTACAGTTTTACGGTTGTGTTAGCTCCTGTCGTTTTATGCCTTCTTTAACTTATTTTGTAACGACACCAAGTTGCAAATGTTTATTTACTTTGTTGCCTCTGCTAGCCATGTGCCGAACCAGGTTATTGCTCACTGAGGGCCCGGAGTAGATCTACTGCGAGCATCCAGTGTTCCTAATGCGAGGGTCAATAAAGACAAAACGAGCTGTGCGCCACTAGCACGCAGTTTATAGATATCGACGCTGGTAGTTGATCGCTTCCGCTGACCAAGATGGATGACTTCCTGAACGTCATCTCGCAGGTAGCCGATCCTGTGGCCATGAGACCAGTGAGTGAGTGAGTGAGTGAGCCACAAGAACACGTTAGCTTTGATTGTTCTGTCGCTGCCGACGCGGACGGTTGAATAGATTCGGCAATGAATGGCAATTGATTGGACGCCGAGCGATGAGCGAGCGTCACTCCGCCCGCGCGCTGCGCCGCCCGCCGGCTCTACAGCTCTCTACTGGCGTATGTGGTAGGGCGCTCTCAGTATGTCATGGCCGCAGCATCGCTCACACATCCCTAGTTCTAGGACGGCACGGTTGGTGCGATGGCTAGGCAACCGGTTGCCGAGCAACGTGTCGCGGGTTCGATTCCCGCACGGAACAACACTCTGTGTGATCCACAAATTGGTGTTTCGGGTCTGGGTGTCATGTGTATGTAAACTTGTATGTTTGTAAACGCACCCACGACACAGGAGATAATCCTAGTGTGGGGCATTTAAAAAAAAAAGAAAAAGTATACCTCAAAAATCACTTTGTAGTACAATGCACACACATCGTTATCAATAACAAGCTTGTAGTGCCCACTGCCGAGCAAAAACCTTTTCTGTTCTCAACCGGAGAAATAATGAGGTTTAACACGTTAAACGCCATGGCAGTCACCGGTGACCGACATTACCGGAGGATTTGCCTTCAACAGTTTTTTATTGGCAGCCAAAGCCTTAATCACCAATGCGCAAGCGGCAGGCCCTCCCAGTGACGACACCCGGGCGGTCCGATGAGTTTTTCGCTGTTCCCTATTGTCTTACATGCGCACGTGTTGACGCCGTACAATGATGCAAGCCAAACATACACAGTGTAGGTACCTACATAACATACGTAACGTAGACATGCCATTATTGCCATTAGTATACATGGCGTGGCAGGCATTACACTGGGTCGACGCCGACAGGAGGCACAAGTAAACTCGTTGTATTTATCACAATGATTGTTTTCCCTCAGAAAGAGCAAATGTAGGCAGTAGGCACCTACGACATTCTCTTGCATCGCCCCCCTCCCTCTGTTCAGGCTCGTATCGCCTCGACCTCGTCTCATGTTCAGCGCCACTTTTTGTCGCTGCTACTTAGCTAATGAACGCGAGCGCGGCTCCACAAAAACAAACGACAAAGGTACTTGGTGAAATAGTATGCGCCGCCATGGTCTCGGCTCTCGGGTCTCGGGTATAAGTTGCATACACAAGCAGTGTGTGTGTGTGCTTGACTTCGTTGCTGTCGAGATGGTGATGACATACCTAGCTAGCTATTCGATAGTTTGCCGCTCTTTAAGCAGACGACGGTTGAATGGTTTTCTTATTTCGACTACACTTGTCAGTGCAAGGACTGTGTGCGACTTTGTCTCTATTATTTCCCTTCTAATTACCCACGTTCTGACAGTTTGAGTATTTGTCACAACGGGTCCGCTCGAAACTTAATGGTTGGAAAGTGCGTAATTTTGCAAAATTTGCCCCCTATTCCATAGCAAGCGAGCGACATGCGACATGCGGCCGCGCGACACACGCGGTCGCGCGACACACGCGGTCGCGGCCGGCGTCGCGGCGCGGCGAGCGGGTCGCCTGCGAAGCGACGCCCGCCTGCCTCCTTGCAGAGCTCGTAAAATCACAAGCTGTTAATACCGTAATAATATTTATGTGGGCTCGTAAATAATAAACTCTTACTTGTTAAGCACGTGTACGCGTTTATTATATGACAGTTTCTTCCTATCTGCTGGACTTTTAATATGTGGGGCCACGTTTAATGAAAAACAGAACCAACACAAGCACCTAACTACTTATACCAACATAAGTACCTCACTACTTATGTTGGTTTTTATAAAAGTACGTGATTTTTTCTAAGGAGAAAAAATCTTCGAATGACTTCTTCCGCCTGGGTGATGCGGAATGGA